GAAAATGAGAACAACTGCAAAACAGTACATCTGTATGCAACATATTACTAATGATGGGACCCAGAAGTGGTCTCTGGGGAAGAGATGTCATCACAGTGTAATTGTGTCACTTGTGACTTGCAGAATCCCTGCTGGGATGGAGACAGCTGAAACTGGTTATATCTCAGAATTTTTTCCTTTTACTAGCCATTTGCTCAGGTGGCCTTGGTACCTGAACTTATGTCAGCCAGGGGAGTGTTTTAGTGCATTCAGTTTACAGTATTTCTCATGTGTTTAATTTGAGTTTCTCTTTTCATTTTTAGATGGGAGCTTATGCCTGAATTTCCCCAAGAGAGAAGTTCCATCAGTTTAGTCACCTTAAGTGGAGCTTTGTATGCTATTGGAGGCTTTGCAATGATTCAGCTTGAATCTAAAGAATTTGCACCTAGTGAAGTCACTGATATATGGAAGTAAGTTTAATTTTAGTCACACTTTGCTGGTGGAAAGTCATATCTAAAACTGAGATTTGTAGGCCTTGGAGGGTAGAACTGTTTTTCTGTTTAGCTCTGAAAATGATCCATAGCAGAGGTTGTAAAGCACTTGTTGACAGATAAAAATGTTTGTCAGAAAGTAACAAACAAACATGAGACTTGGATCTAATGACTACTTTCACCTAGTAATAATTTAACCAGTCTAAGTCATGATCTTCAACTTCTTTAAAAGAGTAAGTTGCCTTATCTCTTGGCAGGTTTAGCCTTGCCAATGAAAACATTCTTAGGTGACATTCTTATGCAAAAAAGCCGTTATACACAGAGGTTTGAACATACTGATGTCTTATTACTCAAATGACTGATTGTTCCAAGAGAATCAGAAATCCCTATCTCCTAGGGTTTTTTTCAATCTAAATCACAGTAGCAGTGATGAAACGTGATATCTCTGCTCTGACTCTTCAGTTGCTAATGTAAGTTCAGAAGTTTTGTCAGTGGGAAGTATTCCCAGAAAAAAACTTTATATGCAAGAATCTGAAGACATTTGTAAGGGATACTTAAGATAAGGAGGAAGCTTTTATATGAGTAATTAAAGCATGACACATGCTGGCAACAAGCTTTAGGGACCAGGAGAACAACAGCTCGTGCACAAGAACGTATTTCTGTTCTCTTCTAGAGGACAAAAGCCTTCCATGGCATCTTTTAGCATATGGTTGCTACAGCCTTTGCAACAGGCAGACTATCCTCCATTCCATGTCTGTATGCTGAAGCATCAAACTCAAATTGTAAGATATTTTCTAAACTTATTTTGTTAAATGCAGGTATGATGATGAAAAGAAGGAATGGATTGGCATACTGAAAGAGATCCGATACGCTACTGGAGCCTCCTGCCTGGCTACACGCTTAAACCTCTTCAAGTTATCAAAACTCTAAACAAAATACTGGAAGACATGATATGGTGAGGGAGTTTCAATAGGCTCTCCTGGTTTTGTTGCATGAAAATGTCCCCAAATTGTACAGAGCTTTGTAGCAGCATCCTAGTTATACTGTGAACTGTTAAACAGTTCATTTGTCTGTCCAGGTCTTAAGATATTTACTAGCTAACCACCAACCACTGAATTTTTGCTAGTGTTTAAAATCTTGAAGAGCTCTAATTACCATTGATTAGAATCAGTTAAGATTTCAGCGAGAACTGCATTTTTCACTCTGTGAAATTGCAAATAAAACTAGTTGGATGTCCTTTACACTCATACAATCCAGGATATTACTGGCTTATCCTGCAAATAGTGCCCATTAATTAACTGTTAAGTTAAATACAACTAATAGGTAGCTAATTTTATTCTAACTGGCTGTTTGTACAGCCTGATTTCCCCTTTCAGCAATGTATGTAAATCCTGCACTCTTCAGCCATATCTTGGAAATATTTTCATCACAGCCCTCAAAAAAATAATTTAGCCTGGAATTGAAATGCATGTTGAAAACAAAAGTGGCCTAATACTATGTGGCCTAATAAATGCCACTCTCAGCCAAAGCTGTACTAGTAGCCAGACATGAGGGAAGAAAGAAAAGTTCACAAGGTTAATAGCTCTACTGTTTCACCTACTATGTTTAGGCTTCTGGTAACAAGGATTTTCCACTTTTTTATGCTTTTATATTTATTTCCAAAGCAAGTATTTTATGGAAGTTTTTCTCAGAGATCTGAGGCCAATAACAAGCATTCATGGAAAAAGTCCTAGAAGAACTGATCATCAGCAAATACCTATGGCAGAGAGGACTTTTTCATCCAATAAAGAGTTGATGCATTTTGACATTTAAACTTTTGACAATTAAACTTTGTTTTTAAAACTATAAAAGTGTCACTTGATGGTGTCTCTTTCAGTGATCATCTCTTCATCACTATCATATTGAAAGGACACAGATTTCTTAGTACAGTCTTGGCCCAAAACAGAGCACTTGGTTTTCTTCAAGTAGAGCATGGTGGACATCCACCAGTTTTTGCAGAGTATCTCTTCAAAGGATTTCTCCATTGAATAAAGAGGGTGTCATTAATCTAAAAGATTTCATAAATCTAAATCTAATTACAACTGATATATCAGAAAAACTGGGAAGGCAGTCCACCACACCTGAATGAATAGCAATTTCAAATACCAAATGACCCCTTGCATGGTTTTCCTAGGAGACAAGAGGTAAACATATGGCAAAGGCACAGCCATCATAGCTCATTTCAGTATGTTACTGTCCACCAGTACTTAATCTGTGCAGCATCTTTTCTGTTTTCCCCTTTAGTACCCAAATCTTCAGCTACTCATAGCACATTTTCATCGGCTCCAGTTAAATCACTGGTTTACACCAGCCCACCTGCTCTAACACCTGCTGATTTAATGACTGCAAAGCATCAAAGACAACATATTTTACTGGAATACTCTAATATTTTGCTTTTCTTCAATGTTCTTTCTGACTCCACTCACAGCAAGTTTTAATCCTCTTCCCATTGTGCATACTCATAACTTTATGCATACATAATTTGAAGATAGCTGGCTTAGCACAGAGTGACTGCCAGAACCCTGAAAAGCAGAGTTCAGCTCAAACACATGAACACCCATGACTGATCACTTCAGCTACAGCCACTGGCACCTTTCTTACTCTCTAAGATAGCTACTTGAAGGTGATCTGTACAGAAGCAGGGTCACGCAAGAGCCCCGTGTCATGCAGCCCACCCTCTGAGGTACTAAGCTATATTTATGACTGTCTTCTTCACTTTTACAAAACATAATCTGCGGAGTCATTCTGTGTGCTGTGCCTTCAATGACATTTCCTCAAAGCCCTCTTCTTCTACATCTCGGAGCCCTTGTCCATTTGGTCAGTGTATCTACAGCTACATCTACATTTTTCAATCATCCCACAAATGTGAGGGCTCAGGAGAAAAGCACCTGGCAGCTTAGATCAGTTCTGTTGGTTTTTCCTGGCTTTCCATTCCTGTCCTGATTTGTACTGTCAAAAGTATTTTTTTCTACTACTGAATAGAAAAAAAAAATAGTGACAGCCAGATGCATAATGGCCAACTCCGAAACGCAGTTGCTTACCTCTGCCACATTGCAAAGGAAGTGGTAAAAGAATGTCCTATTGCTTCTCCAAAATAGGCAAGACAAGACAAACATACTGTGCATGTGAAAGAGACAGGCACAGCTAGTCCTCATGAGATGATGGCAGCTGTAGGCACAATGTGGGGGCCTCTCAGAATGAGCTGATTTGCCAAGTACACCACTCTACAGTTACTGCTCTACAATGAATTCTCCTGGCTATTCCAATTTTCCTTCTACATCTCAGTGTCTTATGCCTCCTGCACAAACCCTGGTGGGGTTTTTAAGTATTTGAAGATGTTCCAGAAGGCTTAAGCCATACTTCTACACACACCACATGACAAGGTAGGAGAAGCAGCTGGAGGTTCCTCACCACACAACACCCTCCCACACACAGTCACCCACAGTTCCTCTGTTCTGGGAGATGGAAACAGAATGCTGTAAAAGCAGCCCTATTCTTAGTAAATCTGCATTTCAGCTTCTTGGCTTCAGAGTACAGACACTGTTTGATTCCCAATTGCTCATTCTGTCACATGCTGGAGGACAGACATGGTTTCCAAGAGACTGTTGACTCCTCTCTCACAGTCAAGTGTATTCCCAGCTTTTTCTTTGGAGGGTTCTATGTCTGGCTAAGCCTCTGTGCTATTTATTTATGATATAATAGTGTAATTTTACAGCAAAACTGCCACAGACTCATGTGCTTAAGTAACAACTTCCAGATAATGGGAGATTTTAAGCATCCTTCTCTCCCATCTCCACAGCCCACAGTGACCTGCCTTTTGCAATCCCTAACAAATTGAGGATTAAATCTCTTTATACCTGATGCCCGTGGCAAGCCTTGGTCCAGCTGACTCACAGATAAACAGATTTTTGAAAGTAAGTATTCCAGGACTACAAGAAGTTTGATGGCACATAAAGTGTTTTTATAAAAGTACTTTAAACTGCATGTCTAACCTCACTGTATTCCATACAGCTGCTGTCTCAGGTATTCTAGCTGTTCATCCTTTGTTGACAGAACCATAGAATTCCATTCAAAGTGAGGAATCTGTAGAACAGAATCATACAAATCAAAGGTTAACATTGGTATAAGACACATACCATCTCACAGCAAAGAAAAGGCTGAGGTCTGCTGTTCTCCACTTGAAGTTTATTTCCCACCTGTATCCTTCCAAAAGCTAGGCTGATTCTAATACTGAAAAGATCATTTCTCAATGTAAGATTCTTCCTTATATAAGGGCAATCAGTTTACTTCCAAAAGGCAGCACAGTTGCAGAGATGTAAAGCAGATGCCCTCGCAACACAGGCTATGACAACTCCATTAAACCATCCCCCCCTTTTGAAACCCAAATTGAGAGAAAAATCCCAGGTCACTGTAGTTTGTAATGTTAATGTATCAGACTGGACTGGTGTATCAGTAGCATAACATGAGAAAGGATGATTATTCTGTTGAAAAAAAACATCAACCAAATTTAAGCTTACAGAAGGAATCTAGCCAAAATTAGAGTAGGTAATTAAATATAACAGGAGACACTGCATTCATGAGCCTCCAGTACCCTAATGTTTCTGTGCTGGTGGCTGTGAATTATCTCTGGCCACTAGTGTTCCCCTGTCACAGCACTGTATCACTGCAGCAGATAAACAGCATTCCTGTCCTATCTGGCAGCTGCCAAAACTGTCCATCACTCAAGGAGGGTATGTTCAGTCTTCTTCTACTGTAGAAATCTTTAGTGAATTTAACTGAAACTCTAATTTCACCTTTTCTCCTTTACTCAGGCTACCTCAAGGCTGCAAGTTTGCCGGCAGTAAGGTAAGACTGAGACCTTTCAACTTCAGTTTTGTTGCAGCCTCTTTGAGAGAAAGTGCAAATTGTATGAAGTGTTTACACCATTCTGAGAACAGCTTGGAATTTTCTCCCTAAATACAAAAATGGCTCTCACCCAGTAGGTGCTTTCAGCTATAAAAACTGTCTCTAAATCTGTTGCAAGGAAAATGGATCATTTTGCAGTACTGATAAAACTCAGGAAGGACAAAGCATTGCTGACAGCTCACCTGCACTACGCGGTACCCCAGCATTTCCAGGTGGCGTTTTTTCACTGCAGGTTCTCCTTTCAGATGACGTGAAGAATCTTTGCTAAAAGCTCTTGAATCAAGAAACTCCAAAGCAATTCTGTAAACAGCAAAAATGTGCAGTTACTTCCAAGTCCTACCCAAATAGCAAGAAGTGATATTTGCAGTTCAGTATTGATAGCTGCAGTAAGACTAAATAAACCTCACAATTCACAGAAAATTAAACTCCCTGAAACTAGACAAAATATTTTCCTCCTATTTATCTAGAGATACTTGAACTGTACATGATTCAGAAACAGCATTTTCTCCTTGTATTTCTTTTTGTTCAAATGTAAAAACGGCTAACCAGCATTTTCAAGGCTTTGAAGAGGTGGGAGGAAAAGAGCATTCCAATGTCATGAAGCACATTTCAATAACATGTACTGGGTCTGGCTGGGATGGAGTTACTTTTCTTCATAGTAGTTTGTATAGTTCTGTGTTTTGAACTTGTGACTAGAACAGTTTTAACAACACACCAATATTTTGGCTATTACTGAAGAGTGTTTGTGCAGCATCAAGGCCTTCTCTGTTCCTTGCTCTGCACCCATGTGCACACAGCTGCATATAGCTGTGTCCCTTCCCAACAAGAGGCTGGGAAGGGACATAGCTGAGAGGGAACCTCAAATGGCTAAAGTGATATTCCACACCATACAACACCAAGCTCAGCAATGAAACAGAGAGGAGTTTTTCCCAAGTAGCCATTGCTTTGGCATTGTTCTGCTAGTGGTGAATGACAGCATGTGCAGTAATTGTTTTGTTCACCCCTCCTTTTTTTTTTTTAGTTTCTTCTCTTCAATTATTAAACTGTTGTAAATGCAAACCAGGGCTCTTTTTCTTGCTTTTACTCTCCAGATTCTCTCCCCCAACACACTGCAGGAAGCGAGCATGTGACAGGGTAGGAGCAGCTGGGGCAAACCCACCACACCCTAGAAGGATAAACCTCATTAGACTTTGGAAAAAGGAACAGAAAAATAAATAGCCTCAGGGTTGCAACAAACATTTAAGATATAAGCATTAAAAAACTGGTCTAAAGTCGATCTAAACTTGGAAGAGCTAGTGTGCATGAATTCAGTGTACTAACCTCTGGGATCCTGGTGACAGAGTCCTACGCCCTTCATCCTTGACGTCATGTCTCAAGTGTATTCCTCCTACATTATCCAAAGGTATATTCTGAGCCATACAGGAAAGAGGCTTTTTATTTTCATCCAGGACACACTCAAAATCTGCCAGAAAACATAACAAACCTGTTTACTGACAAAAGTTTAAGAATTTGATCTGTACAGTGTTTACTTCTAGAAAAACTAAGTGATAACCATAAAGATACCAAACATTATCTATATTATGCAGAACTTTTTAGAAACTGTATTTTATACAGCAATTTCTTCTGTGCAGTATCTTGTGGCCACATGCCCAGGGGGCTCCTAACCTTGATGATAACAGTGATACCAAAGGTCTCCGTAACAATCCTTAAAGTACTAACTCCTCACCTATTTCATAGTAGTATGGTGTGAGAACAGATGTTCTCACGTAATGGCTCCCTCCTAGGATCTCTGCCAACATTCTGTAAACATGCTGCCGCGGTGGATTTATTCGGCTGGAGCCTACAAAGACAAAATAAAGCATACAAACATGAAAACTTACACAGTCAAAGTTCTGAAAACAGCACTATGAGACACTGCATTTTTGACCACCAGGCTACTGAATGAAATCTTTTCCACAGATCCCTGGTATTATTCCATCATAATTCAGAGCCCAACTGATGATCTCTTGTGTGGAAAGTGGCAGATGCATACTATTAAGCATGAATTTCAAATCCAGGCTTTCCATCCCAGGATTTCTCCCATTCACATACTAATAAAACTTTAGTTTCAGGTTTCACGTGTTGGATTTTGCTCTGTGTTTAGACACTTAGGTATTTACATGTCTTGCATTTATTACAGGCACACCACACTATCTGTCACTTTTCTGTCTGTTGCAGATTAGCACCTTGCTCCACTAAACATCTTCAGACTCAGAGACAAAGCAGCAGGAGTTTGATGGATAGCAAAGCAGATCTCTCCCTGAGAATTAGCAGAGGAAATACTGTGTTTGCACTAGTTGGATTTTCTGAAGTGATTGCTATTCTGAAAGATGTCAGCTGCTACACTTGATTACCAGCCTACTTCTCCATCTCTCATCCCCGATGGATCTTGATTCTTCTGAGGAAGAAGGCAGAAGCAAGTTCAAAAGCAGGCACTAAAAATGTTCATCTGGAAAAATACAAGTCAAATGTTCAACCCTGCAAGTGAAGCAGAGAGCAAAATGATCCATCTCTTCCAGTAGACAACTCTAATGTGCCTCTTCCTGTCTTTCCATCCTTCATGCCATATACTCTGTTCCTGTGTATTTAAACTTTATTTTTGTGAAGAAATATCCCATCTCTACTACATTAATTCTCACAAGGAAAACTGCTTTGCTCTCTGTTGCACTACTAAACACTTGCACTTTTCAAGAAGACATAGCAGAGTGGAGTGTGCCCTTCTGAGCTTCTATGGTGTGCTAGTGTCAGCGTGGCAGTTTTAGAAGAAACATCTGGTGGACTGTTGAAAATAGACTATTATTAGTAACAAGGGCAGGTTCTCCTCTCCTAAATTACTTACTGTTGTGAAAGACATGTTGGCAGTAACGCTCATGAAACCAAGGGATGTGAAGCTCCGGGCACTCCAGGCACACTGCTCTGTTCAACCGCATGAGGCGAGAGCGAACCCTCTGCTTTAGGCTATCAGGCAGGACTGATTTTTTAAAAACACACCAAAACAAACAAAAACCAAATGCATAAAAAGGTGTGAAGTGAAATGTGAAAAATCCAACACATTGAACAAAATGGTTATCTCTGAATTCTGTACTAGAAATGCAAATATTTGTATACTATGGCATTTATAAAATTCATCTGCAGAACCTTAGAAAGGTTCTCAAAATCCCTGAGAAAAAGATGAAAACTAAGAGTTCTGCTCACTATTGAGAGCAACAGCAAGACAGAAGACAGAAACTGCTTCTATCATTTAACTTGTAATGAAGTGGCTGAAGGCAAAATGGCAACAGTGCACTGATAGCAAACAATGTACAAGCAGAGAGGAACGAAACAGTCACGCAGTCTTTGATTTAGAGAGAAGAGACTGGTAGGACACATTTCTTGCACACAAGAATCCTGTATTATTTCATCAGCTGTTTTGACTATTTCTAGGAATAAACACCACAGGTAATTTTATTTCCAATATTATTAAATAGTGAGTGCAATAAGTTCAATAAAATTTGTTTTATATGAGCTTCTGTCATCTGCAATACAAGTCTCCACTTATAAAACAAAGCACAGACTTTTGCTCATTCCTTCCCTTTGAGCACTCAAATGATGACTAGGTGATACAGAGGGGATCTTTTCAGAAAATGTAATCATTTAAAGAGTAATTCTACTTCTCAAGTCATACATAGGTCCACAATTGCATTCTATGCCAAATGCTACACAAATTCATCAGAGAGCTAGATACCTACCTTTAAGTTGAGCATCCAATTTACTTAGGAAAGAAACATTAAATATCGTTGTTATCAGTACTGGAGGAAAATACCCAGCCACTGCCAAAGCATGACCAAGCAGCACCAAGTGGTAAGTTTCAAAATAACCTTTAAAACACAGACAAAAATCCATATTAACACGTGACAGAGCTGAAAGGATTTGCAATGCCCTTCCCATGGCCTCCCAAACCGTCTAATTTTCTTTCTTAACATACTAAATGAAAACACAGGCAGATTAGAGACTATCTCTGCTACCTGCACCAAGGTGTAAGTTAATTCTTGGCAGGTATTTCCAGGAGAAAACTAGTCTTAAAAAAAAGGAAACTCCACAATGTATTAGCAGACAGCAAATTTTCACAGTTCTGAGAGACTGTATCATTAAAAAAAAAAAAAAAGTCTCTACACATTTCCTCTACATGTTTAACAAGTTTAATTTCTTCGTGACAAATTAAATGTATCTCGTTCCCAAATTATGATTCCTTGGGTAACACTACAACAATTCTATCAAATAACAGCACAGTGAAGTAATCAGAATTTTCACTTGCTTTTTATTACGCTAAAAATCCTTTGCTAGTCCCTTATCAACAGTAGTTTTTAAAGGATGAAACAAAACCCAACACTGAATCTTTGTCACAGTTTAACCCCTATTAGGAGAAGCATACACACTTTTTCTTTGCTTAACGGAAGTGCCATTTTGTTCCTCTTTTCATTCAGGAAAAATAACATCTTCCAGTGACATTCATTTATTTGGTGTCAGAATATCTTTGTCTAACACACTTACTCAAGTTAGAAGTAAGATGCTGGATACAATTCTCAAAGAACTCTTCATTATCAGGAGGGTCATAATTCAAAGCAGAGAACAGGATGAGAATAGAACAGATTTCAGAGGGTTGCATCTGGAAAAAAAGACATCCTAAATCAAGCTACTGCAAAATATGCTACTATTGCTTTGTAATAAAGAAGAGTTTTGTAATTCATTCAGAATTGGGAGATTTAAGACTAGATGAGCTATTTTCTATTTTTTTGGTCAGCCTTTCCTGGAGAAAATGACAGAAAAATAAAATGCAAAAATTATTGAAATTGCAGCTACAGCTAAAACTTAAAATCTGTTTCATGTAGATGATCCAACTTTTTCTATATACTTAAAGAATCTTTTTAAAAGGTTTCAAATTAAATGTTCTAATAAAATCAAAGATTTATATGAACACCAGATTGAGGGAAAAAAATAGTAAGAAAACACAGTAACTTTGACCAAGAAGAGAGGTTATTGGGGAAATCTCCACAAGAATGAGTCATTAAAATACACACCACATGATGTGACTATTTATAAAGAAGTTTAAAAACAATTTAAGATGGTCAAATATAAAGTTTAATGTGAAGGACTATGACTGACCTAGCACTGACTGAACAACAAAATAAGAAATGAAAAATAAAGAGAAGTGCAAAATAATAAATATATAGAAGCAAAACAGCCTTGAGTGAACACCAAAAAAGATAAGCTCCAAAATCCAGTACAATGAAAAAAACTCTCAGAAACGCTGTGTGGATTGTGCTCTGAAATACACCAACTACTAACCTGCCCTTTCTTACTGACTAACTCAAACAGTAGATAGAAAGAAAAACTGTAATACCTTGTCTAGATTTTCAACAGTTACAGCAGCTATTCTGTCAAATAGAGCAGGACAATGGTGCTTTGTTTTCAGGAGGAAAAACGACAAAGGTAATACATTTGCCCATGTTATCTGGCCTATCAAGCGCTGACACGCGGCCACGGTTTCCTCACTCAGGACTTCTTCAAACCAGTCTCCATTCACATGTGTAAGTTCTTCCAACAGAAGATTTAAGTTGTTGGCTTTCTGAAGCCTCTGAAATCCACAGTCATTTAGGTTTTGCAGAAGCTCTGCACATACTTCAGAACTGTTTTGCCAGTGCAACTGGTTATGATGATTCCATTTGACAAGAGCTGTAGCAATGCAATTCAAATTGTGGAGCCTGCATTGAGGCAGAACTGCTGCTGCTTTGTTTAGAATGATTTCTTCCACTTGAAATGAAGGAAGCATGGCCAGAACACGAATTATGGCTGCAGTATCAGTAGGTATCACACTAGATTTTAAAAAGCTGGAAGAGAAATAGAAATAAAACCAGTTCATCAATAGTGACAAAGTGAAAATGTTTAAAAAACAAACATTACATGAAAATTCTCATTGAGAAGTCAAAAGCTGCACATCAAATATAAAATAAGTAAAACATTAATGACACAGTAGAAATTCACACAGTTACAGACTACCATCTTTTTTCATGGAGATTAACTTCTTCCAATTTATTCAACATTGAAAAAAGGGAAGAAGACAGGGAGCAGCTCAGTCAGCTGGTGAGGCTTCATGTATTACTGAGACACACAGAAGTCCTTAGTAAGCCCACAGGGTCCACATTTGTTAAGGGAGTCTGTGGGTTTCTGGGCCTGGATAATTTCTGTGATTTCTGTCCTAGGGAGCACCAGGTTCTGAGGTGCCTGAGGAACACATAGGTATGATCCACATAAAATAAATGTACAGCAAGGCACTAGATTCCTATAGAGGCTGAGCAATGGAAGCAAGGTCTCTTCTCCGGCAATGCCAGGAGCAGTCTGGAATTCCCTTTCTACCGCACCTGTACAAGCCTAAGAACTAACTGGACAGTTCTTCAACCAAAAGAAGAGTATTTCTGCTTCACACTTTCACTTGTCCCAGCAAGGCATTCTTACTGTCTATTTTTCATTACTTCTTTCCTCAAACATCAAAGAAGACATGCATACCTACCCTTCCTATAAAGTACCAATCAAAATTTCCTTGAATCCAATTTCAATGCCACTTCATTGCTCCAGCCAAAGGAATAAGGTGCCAAAAAATATTTTTAAGATATCATACCTATTAGCAGATACTGTTGGGTGTATAGTAATGACAATATCCACTTCCTATCCTCTGATTTACATGTTTAATAGAATCAAATACATGTAACAGGTTGTTATTTCTTCATATTTTATGGAAACAAAACAATTTAACATCTTAGATGTTATTTAAAATCCTAAGTAGTGAATTGTTTTATACTTAAATAGCTGCATTTCCAAGAATAGACACTTACCCTAATAGTAACATTTTTAGTTTGGCAAACAGCTCCGGATCGTGGCAACGCAACACCACCAAGTAGTGCGTTAACTTCACCAGCTGTAACACATGATAGCTATCCAAGTGTTTATGCAGAACAGAAGCCATTCTGAATACAAAGACAAAAAAATTACATGGTGTTAAGCTAACACAAAAGATAATGCAAATCCCCACATGAACAAGGGGTGTCCTGTGGTGCCCAGTACCAATGTGGAGGGTTTTACACACCCGCACTCCTCTCCACACCAGTTCTGACACTTCCACTATGACACAGAAGCCTCTTTACACTTACTGAACTGCAGAATTTAAGCCCTCGTCACAGAAAATCAGCTACTTCATGCTAATAATGTCTATTGCAGATTTTACAATCAGTTAAATTTAAAGTGGACCAAGAATGGAATAAACTAGAACAGCACTACCAGCTCCAGCAGCACTGCACCCATTTACATAACAGTGGCTGTTACAGCTATATAGGTCTAAAGCTGCAAAGAGGGGGATGGATTTGTAGGGAAGGATAATACATTAAGACCTTCTTTAGACAGCGAGATTCAAGGAAAAAAGGGATGAATTCACCTGGTCTTCCTTTTAGTATCACTCTGCTCCACAGTGCTACTTGCCCTTTTTCATCCAAGGATCTATTTGGTTCATACAACTTCCTTTAATCCAGTTATTGCTCACAACCTGCACTTAAGTCTGCTACATCTCTGACGTATCCAATGGTAAATCTTCTGTGCTCAAAACAACAACTGCTTTTCCTTTCACTGTACAACAGATATTACCTCTCCCTATAAACAATGTTGCGTTTACAACTGCAGAAAATGTGGTTGTGGTTCTTAAAGACACAAGCTTTAATAGCCCAAAGTAGGACACAATGACTTTTGAAGAAACAATTCACATCAGCAACAGGATCTCCAAGATAGGACATACTGTCTGCAACTTCCATATTTGTCTTTGTCCCATGAGTTTACAGTAATTGTTAGAGGCTAAGTTTACTGCAGTAGGATCACATATTTGTAAACAAGACAGATATATACATAAACTTGGTAGGGATGAAATGCCTTTATATGAAATTCCTAGACTGCCTCAATTCCTTCTGGGTCAAGCTGCAATATTCTAAAATCTGTAACAGCGAATTATTTATAGCATATATGCATTTGTGTGCAAGTAATGCACCCTCCACTCCCAACTTAGTATATATTCTTAGTTTTCCACACTAAATGGAAGTAGTTTACCTAGAGAATACAACTTCTTAGTAGTATCAAAAAATTACTTTTTCAGCAGATGAGAATTTCTGCATTTCATTTTCTGCATCGTCTTCAGTATCACCAATATTTGCTGACTGCTAAATTCTTCTGCCATGTGTGCTGCAGTTACCAGCAACCTAAAGAGGAAAAGATATATTTTCCAATGAAAAACCATTGAAAATCTCCAGCAAAGACTGCAGCCATTTTCTTTGTCTATGAGGGAAAGAACCAAAAGACTACTTCAGGAAAATAGAGGAAAACAAATTCCCCTGAACTAGAGGCCTTTGTTCTGTGCTCCCCTATGAAGACAGGCTGAGAAAGTTGAGGCTGTTTGGCCTGGAGAAGGTTACGTGGAGACCTCACAGTAGCCTATCAGTATCTGAAGGGGCTCCAGGGGAGCTGGAGAGGGACTCTGTTGGGAACTGCAGTGAAAGGACAAGGGGTAACAGGTTCAAATTGAAGGAGGGGAAATCTAGGCTAGATATTAGGAAAACGTTTTTTACCGTGAAGGTGGTGAGACACTGGCACAGGCTGCCCAGGGAAGCAGTGGACGCCTTAACTCTGGCAGTGTTCAAAGCCAAGGTGGATGAGACCTTGAGCATCCTGGTCTAGTGGGGAGGTGTCCCTGCCCATGGCAGGGGGTTGGGACTAGATAATATGTAAGGTCCATTCGAACCCCTAAAATTCTATGATATGATTCTATGATATGATAAAAGTATGAAAATATGACTCATTGTAATTAATACAGAAAATTGTGCCTAAAACCGCAGACTTTGAGAGACCCATGACTAATACCACTCCCAAATAGGATTCTGTAGCACAAGAAAAAAAGACAGAAAAAAACCAAAACAGTCACACAATATTATGCTCTAATTACTAAATAAATGCTTCCATAAATAATAGAACATCAGCAATCTGGTATAGGGCAAGACTCAGTCTGTTTCAGCTACTGCCAGATTTATAAAGGAAAAAGCAACACATACCACTGCACATATTTCTCAGAGGAAAGATGAAGTATTTTACTGCCATCCCCTATGAAAGGAAGGCTGCAGTCTAAGAGACAGAGCTACAAGGTGGCCTCGCATAACAACATTCACACACCCCTTGACTGCTGGATCCAGTGTTCTACACACCCGTTTTAAAACTAACAGCTTTGACAGTATTTCCATAAGAATATCATATATTGCTACAAAGTTACAACCAGGAAACCTAACACACAACTCACACATGGGCTCAGAAATTCCTCCAAACACCAGCACATTTTTAATTCCTGTGCAAACTATGTATATATCATAAATAAGGAAAAATTGTTAATAAACTTACCTTTCTCTTATGTTGGATCCTGCCATAGGCCCAAGAGCAAAAAATAATTTTGCAAAGGTTTCAGGATCATGACAATCATCTACAGTTTCAGACAGCAGCTGTTTAGCAACCAAGCGGAATTCAGCATTGTCGAAACCCAACTGCTCATACAGTCCAAAAATATGACTAATACTGTGTATATCAAGACGGGAGGCACTTTTAAGAAAAATCCTGTTGCATTTTTCTAGCAATGGATGGTATATCAGTTTAAAATTTTGAAGAAATTGTAGTATTCTTTTGGCACTGTTGAAGTGGACTTCCTTTTCTTCCATGAGCTGTTCGGCCTTACATAGTAACCGATCTCGAAAACTCTGTGAGATAACATCAGATATGCTGACCATCAAAACTGACAAAGCCCTAAAAAAATCAAAAGATTTTACACTTACACATTGAACATAATAAGCAATACATTTTAGATTTCTTAAACTAATTATGCAAGGAAAGGAACAGTAGCCAAGGTGTTGCTGGCTCCTGCGCAAAAAGGAATTTTTTATCTAATGCAGAACATCAGATGAGCAACACCCATTTATCCTACTAAAGCAAAAATTCTGCTTTCAGTGAACTTCTGAAACAATTCGGATTTCTCAGCCATCCCTTACAAACTTGTATGTGATAAAAGCATTTGCCTAAGGTGAGACCCTGATTTGCCTGATTCAAATTTGCAAAAAGATCTTCAATGTTCAATGGACACTAAAGAAACTCAAACAAGTCTCAAGTGACAGAATGGGGAGAAGAGTCAGTGTCCATGCTAAAGAAAGAATCCCTTCCCACAGGAATAGAACTTATGACCATAGGGAGAGACATTTCTGTAAAGAAATGAAGTCCCATTCAGTAAGTTTCATAAGCAGACTCCTCACATCTGCAAAAGTAAGTTTTGGGACTGCTGGTGCTGTATAAAGCAGAAAAAAGAAGGAGCAGCCTTTGCTACAATGGCCCAGTAGAACAGAGGCAAGAAAAAAGCAAATTCTTGGACTAGGGCTGTGTTTTAAGTAGTTTTAATATAAGGATAATGTGTTACACATGCTAGCAAGATGTGCTGGTTTGGGCTGAAGTAGAGTTAACTTTCTTCACAGTGGCTAGGATGGGGCTATGTTTGGGTTTTATGCAGGGCACAGGGTTGACAATGCAGAGATGTTTTTGGTTTTGCTGAGCAGAGCTTACACTGAGCCAAGGCCTTTACTGTTTTCCACACTACCACATTGGCAAGGAAGTTGGGGGTGTATGGAAGATTCGGAGGAGACACAGCCGGGACAGGTGACCCAAACTGACCAAAGGGATATTCCATACCATATGACATCATGCTCAGTATATCAAGTGGGAGGAAGGAGTGGGGGGGGACGTTTAAAGTGATGGTGTTTGTCTTCCCAACGGTACACGGGTCCTGCTCTCCTGGAGATCGCCGAACACCTCCTGCCCATGGGAAGCAGTGAATTATTCCTTGGTTTGCTTTGCTTGTGTGCATGTGGCTTCTGTTTTCCCTACTAAACTGTCTTTATCTCAATCCATGATTTTTTCTAGGTTTTACCCTTCCTATTCTCTCCCCCACCCCACTGGTGGGAGAGTGTGCGAGCGGCTGCATGGGGCTTGGTGGCTAGCTGAGGTTAAACCACAACACAAGAGAATTCAATAATTCAAGATGATCAGAAAAAAAAACCCAATGCTCTGAAGACAAATAAAAACATTGCTTTAAAGCTCATTATTGCTATTAACAATAGCAAACTTAATCCATGTCATAATAAACAAACTAGCAATGTCAAGGAAGAAAAACATCTTCTGGTGTGGGAATAGCCTCTATATGATATAAAAAGTCCATGTAAAATTTAGAATCAGGATAAAGCTGATTCTAAATATTTGTTGTACTGTTCTACTGTAACAATTTTAATTGGTTACTAAAAAATTTTTCAAAAGTTATGGGGGAAATGCATTCACCTGTCAGTCAATGCACACATACAAAACACTTCTGTCCCACATATCCCCACACTGAACAAAAGCAACCTCCAGTTGAGAAAAAGGGAAAGTGTTCAGCAAAGGCAGCCCAATAATTGTGACATATTGCTTCTCCTGCTGCTCAGCTTCATTCTGACACTTACCTTATATCCTGTACAGAATCCAGTTTCTCATCCACAATATGAGCTATTTTGCCAGTTATGGGATTGAAATGCCTATATTTCTTGTATAAGCACAGTGCAAATTTAGACAGAGCTGGCAAACTAAGCCTGTCAAAATATCAAAGACAGAATATTTATCTTTTATTCCTAGTGAATAACTAACGACAAACATCTACTTCAAAAACTATATAAAACCCAAGGTTATAATCAAATTACAAAAAAAGGAAACAAAATATCTAAGCAAAACACCTAGATGTTCCATATTAAAGCATGTTGTGCATATGGAGCTCTACTAAAATCAGTTGTTCTTCGCCTAACCTTATCAGCCTAAGAAATCTACAAAGATTACGCTCTCAAGCAACGACGTGATTAATGTCAACAATTTACTACCTGAGTATCATTCTGTGTTCAGGCTACACTGCATTTATTTACTTGTCAAGATGCTCCATATATTAAGCTGGAAGAGGCACTTCTGTGATGCTGGTGCCATGACTGACACTAGCGCCTGCCATTACCCTGAGATCAAAGAACGAAAACTACAATATCCAAAAGAAAGAAATCAAAACAAGCCACCAAAAAACAACAAAATGCACCATGGGGAAATGTGGCTGTTCTAATACAAAATGTTTTTACTAAAATTGAGAGAAGCAGGTTTCTAACAATCATTTAAGAGCTGGACAGCAAGCAATGACATAAAATTGTAAATATTAAAACCTGCAATTTACTACAAACACATAAATCTATACAGACAACGTATTTCAAAATCTTAAATGTTGGTCTCTGTTGTTGCAGTATCTGAATCTCTCAAGCATTTGTGTACCAAAGCCTGCATGTACAAATCCCAAAACCTTAAAAAGTACAACTGACATTTAAAATACTCATATGTTTAAAACATAAATACACTTTGAAGCAAATCATACTTGCAACTTACACCTTTCACAAAGCATAGCAGTACAGTACTTGCCTTTCTAATCTTTTCCATGCTTCTGTAACAAGCACTTCTGCTAGAGAATCATGGTCTTCAACACTGAGCCTTCAAAAGAAAGACATAATAGTCTGAAGTTTGCTTCAACAATTAAAAAGAAATAATACATATGTCCTTTTACTATATATCATAATGTTTTACTTTTCTATCACTCTCTCCATTCAGATTATAAACATTTGTGCATTAATAATCATAACTCCTAATAATCATAAATCATATTTACTGGGAGTGCAAAATAGATCCATTCTGCCTGCAGCTCAAACACTGAGGCATAGGATGTTGTCTGTGTCATACAGTCAGAGTACAGATGCTGTGACAGGGCAGCCTCCCAATCTCTTTATAGTATGGTTCTGTAGTCAAAATTCCTTCTCTTTTTATTACCAAATGCGAAATGTATGTACGTGGAATGCAACATAATTATCTTTACCTCAGAATACTATATAAGGTGTCCACTACAGCCTCATCTTCCATGTGTTCCACCTTGTTTTCTGCTAAAATGCAAAGGGTAAGAAACTGGGAGTGATTTCTTACGTAATCATTAGTCCTTAAGAGAAGTGGCCTCTTCTTTTGCAATTGCCACAGCATGTTCAATGCAATTCCCACATGCTTTTCAGAAAGTCTGGCCTTGTTACTTCCAACAAGGCTGAACACTTCATCTTCATGGGTGCAGCTATTTATCTGGCTCAAAAGCAGATCACTACACAGGGTCCGAGCTTGGTAACGTCTCAGCGTAAACAAGCAAACCTGCCTCAAACAAAGCATTTTGCTATGCCTACCAGCTGTCTTTAAAGTGGCCAGAGAGATTTTTCTTACACTTTTCACAGTAAACCATGTTGTTAAAAAGAACAAACTCAGGTATTTGAAAAACAGAAGACCATCCTTCTTTGATCCCTATGGTCACTGTATTAAGAATTCAATTCTGAGGTACCTGTAAGGAGACAGAATTAAAGCAGTTAAGTACAGTCACAACAACTAGGTAAAAATCAATGTCTCTACTTTACAATGTTCTGAGCAAGGTAAGCTTGAGAAGAACCTACAGCCTGGATTCTTCTCATAGAGAGGGTCCCAACAATGAACACTGATACACTCACAAGCACTATAAAGTTAGCCCACTTGGCAAGTTTTCAAGTTTCAAAGCCTGCCTTTAAAAGGTGTATGTGCTATCATGCCACTAATGAGAAGACAAAGCTGAACCTTCTAACATGCCAGCACTGCATGACTAAGTGAGTCTTATTCTCACTAGGCCACTCCATAATCCCAAACTGGGGTTGAAGAACTTCCAGAAAATAGAACTACTGGTGGTAAGAGGAAGTGAGATGGCTTCTATTAGGGAAGGTTGACCATCTTCATAATACAGGATATTTCTCAGTCACACACATCAGCTGAAACCATCCATTGCACAGAAGAAAAGGAACCTCGCTCCCCAAATTATAGTGGAAGCTACAGTTTTACCTATCAAAATTTGGCAAGTATTAATTTGTTTTCTTCAAATACCCCTCAATTTGCACACAGTGCTAACAACTATGTATTCTACTACCTACAAAACTGGTTTCAAGCTGGGGAACACAAACCACTGGTGACAAATGTTGTGGTACACCAAAAAAAGACCCAAATTCCCTCAACTCAGAGATCATGGAAAAGTCTTGAAGTCTTGCTTTAGAAGATACAATCATTAACAACAAAAATTATCTATACCTTCAGCAAACTCAAATGCTCTTCCACTGCAGGCATGATTCCACTAGCATAACATTATCAAGGCACTGGCAGCAGCATGCACTAGCCCTCCTGAGGAAGAAAAGCCCTTCTTATTAGAGCAGCCTATGAAAGAGAGCATTCCAGAAAATTGGATATAGGTGGATTTCTTTTGATGTCTGTACAATCCACTTCAGACAATAAAAAGTCATAAGATATATTGTATTACATCGCTTTCACTCACACTGGGACAGATACAAGGAAAGCTGAAATAGTTTATGACCTGTTACAATATGAAATGTTTTCTTACCTATGCAAAATGAAAGCTTACAAAAATAAAAGGTACACATTTTCCAGTTATTATGTATTAAGTACCTTTTATAATAATAATTTGCTTTATAGTCTTTTCTCAGATATGGTTTTTATTGCTTCTATTTGTTCCATATGGTAGTTGCCTTTACAAAGAATTCACTTCCCACAGCACTGGCAAACTATGCTGCAAGAAGTCAGGATGAAGGAAGTACCTGAAGAAAATATACAAAATTCAGGCTCAAAAAGTTTCCATGTAAGCCCAGGTAACATGTCCTTCCCCTTCTCATGCTGCAATGGACTTTGATTCCCCTATCCTACTGATGAAGAACCAGGATCCCTACCTAAAACAGTCTGCAGGAAGTTTCCAAATACTTCTCCTTCTGGAAGCTATTGAGCAGATGCAAGTGATTTACCACAAACATGTATGCAAATTTAAACTGTAGTTAATTCTAGCACCTTTTTAAAGGTACATCAATAGAAAACACTGGATGTTTACAAGCTTACAAATACATAAGATAAAAAGTAGGAAATTTGGATCCACTTAAAGAACTATTTCTAAGGTGTGCTACTTACCATGCAAAATACACACTAGAAAGACATACTATAAGGTCTTTGAAATCATTTTCTATCAGCTGAAACACAATAAGCATTTTCAAGGCTGTACTACAAACCACAGTGTGCCAGGAAGTCTTCCACAAAGGACAAAGCCCAAGCACTATTAAAGATTTAAGTAACCAAGCGTGAAGTGAGCTGCTTGTGCAGCACGGGGTGTTTTGTACCTGCCTGCCAGGCTCG